AATGTTACATTTGCAGAAATTATTACCTGGACAAAAAAAATATGACCGTATAGAAAATTAAATTTTAGATCGAGTTTCTTGTTCTTTAAACTAGATCCAAAATGGCGAACATGGTTAAAAAAAATCGCAAAGTTGAAAAACACGGTTTTTCTAAAATAACAAAATATAGCACAGATTGAAAAATTTTAAATGAGAAAGTTGTAGGTTTTAAAAAGTTCTATCGACCGATTTTTTGTAAGTATCTATTGCTTTGTTACTTTTCGAGATATATCGAAAAAACCGTTAAAAATCTTCTCTTTTCTCTTCTTCTAAACTCGTTTACATTTACGTTCCCATACTTGCTATTTACTGCAAGCATAGCCCGCGGCAAGCCAAAAAAGTACGTTTTTTAAAAATTTAAAAATATTTATTATTTTTCGAGATATGTATATAGATTTTTTGAAAAAAAGGCGCTCTCGAAAATTGGCTACATCTTTTCAGCGGATAACCCTACAGTGACAATTTTCGGTTTATTTTCTTCGGAAAGAGTTATATTATCATGCTGTTAAAAAATGTTGTCGATTTTATTAATTTTAAGGATCAAAAAATGACTGAAAATGTTGCACTTTTTTGGATATGTTTTTTTCAAATAACTATTTCAATTTTTATTTTATGAACATGACTTTTATAGAAAGAAACTGGTGACATTTTTTCACGAATTTAAAAAAAAAATGTTTTTCTACGACCTTCTTGAGCCGATATTTTTTTTATTTAAAAAATTTTTTAACAGCGATGCGCTTGATGGAGGTAAAAAATAGTAGGATATGTTTACTTGATTTTTAATATTAGTAACTGAGTAATAAACTGAAGCGTGCAAGCGCTGAGTGCGTCAGCTGGACCGGACGAAGAAGTAGGGGGAAGCGGCGCGCGCTCGCTCTGAACACTGATGACGTGCAGTCTAAATGGCTCGCGCTTGCAAAATCTTTGATATCTCGGCTTCTGGACCACGTACAAAAATTCTTTTATACTTAATCTGGGGTAGCTAAACACGAATATTATAGTCATTTTCGCATTAGAAGCAAAATAGTCCCGTAAATGTTTAGATTTTATTTAACTTACATTTTTTTTTTACTTTTATTAAACTTCTTCACGAAAATATGGAAGACGAACAAGAAAATGAATCAAAAGACAATCCGACAAAGAAAAGAAGAATTTCATTCGATAAATCATTTTAGTTTTCATTGTAATAATTTTATAGACATTTTATACAAAGTTGTATAATTATTAAATATTTTTGTAAATACATTAAATTCTTTAAACTTATTTTACACCAAAATTAATTAATCATTGAAGTGATGAAGTAATTGTTAAAAAGTACAAGTACAACGTCAGTATGATTAATGAAGAAAAAAAATTAAGGTATTACACGAAAAATACTATAATATTATTAATTATTAAAATGACGATATATGCAAAACAATGTAAATTAAATAAAAACTAAACATTTACGGGACTATTTTGCTTCTAATGCGAAAATGACTAGAATATTCGTGTTTAGCTACCCCAGATTAAGTACAAAAGAATTTTTGTACGTGGTCCAGAAGCCGAGATATCAAAGATTTTCAGTCATCAGTGTTCAGAGCGAGCGCGCGCCGCTTCCCCCTACTTCTCCGGCCGGTCCAGCTGACGCACTCAGTGCTTGCACGCTTCAGTTTATTACTCAATTACTAATACTAAAAATCAAGTAAACATATCCTACTATTTTTTTTTGAAAATATAAGTATTCAATATTAACCTCCATCAAGCGCATCCCTGTAAAATGTTAACTGCGTTTTCAAAATTTTTTTTAAAGAAGGTTGTAGAAAAATTTTTTTTTTAAATCGTGAAAAAATGTCAGCAGTTTCTTTCTTTAAAAGTAATTTTCATAAAATAAAAATTGAAATAGTTATTTGAAAAAAACACCCAAAAAAAATGCAACTTTTTCAAAGTAATTTTTTGATCCTTAAAATTAATAAAATCGTCAACATTTTTTAACAGCATGATAATATAACTCTTTACGAAGAAAATAAACCGAAAATCGTTACTGTAGGGCTATCCGCTGAGAAGATCTAGCCAATTTTCGAGGGCGCCTTTTTTTCAAAAAATCGATATATCGAAAAATAACTAATATTTTTAAAATTTTCAAAAATGTACTTTTTTGGCTTGCAGCGGGCTATGCTTGCAATAAATAGCAAATATGGGCACGTAAATGTAAACGAGTTATAGAAGAGAAAAGAGAAGATTTTTAACGGTTTTTTTCGATATATCTCGAAAAGTAACAGAGCAATCGATACTTACAAAAGATCAGTCGATAGATCCTTTTAAAACCTACAACTTTCTCATTTAAAATTTTTCAATCGGTGCTATATTTTTTTAGTTATTTTAGAAAAACCGTTTTTTGCAACTTTGCGATTTTTTTAACCATGTTCGCCATTTTGGATCGAGTTTAAAGAATAAGAATTAATCAATTTAAAATTTAATTTTCTATACGGTCATATTTTTTTTGTCCAGGTAATAATTTCTGTAAGCATTTCTCTATAATGCTTGGACTATTAATATAAAATTCAGTCATACCGTTGCACACATAGAGAGGTTACTGTATTACTGCATTTAATACATTTTGAGTTCACCCCATTACCAAATATGTTGATCAAATAATTTCGAAATATCCTGTATATTGCTAAATTGCCCTGGAAGAGAAAAATCGTTATGCAAAAATATATTCAGCTTTCTTATTAGGAGCCGGAAAATCAGTGGGTAGATCCTTTTAACCTTACTTTTCAATAGGTACCTCCCACTCAGGTTACTCCAGTTACTTGTGATCAATTGAGATAAAATTCGTACAAAAAAACAATTCACAATACAATTATGATTCTGTTCAGTTCAATATTAAATTGTGTCAGATGCCATTCAGCAGATACCTACATTAAAATTAAATATTTGAATCAAATTAATATAATGCAATTATGTTCTTTTATTCTATTTTCAATAATTTTAACAAATGCATACAGTTTATGATGAGCGACATAAAATATTTTGTCGGTTTAATTAAAATGTCATTTTTGTCCATTTGTTTCTCTTTACAAATATATTTTTTTAATTTAGGCATTCTGAATTTGGCCCTTGAAAAGCATAATTGGTTAGTTTCGTATATTTAATTAAAAAATAAAATTTATCCAAGAAATTTAAAATAACATTTTCGAGACCAGTGCTTACAAAGAGCGAATAGTATCAGTGGCGTACACAGAATTTTGCTATGGAAAAATTTAGAGCTCTTAACACTTAATACATTATTATCACTCTTCTTTTTTGTAAGGAAAAAAATATGGGAATTATTTGTCGTATGTGGATTCTGACAAAAAAATTGCATACCTATACTTGAAAATATTTTCTCAAAAAATTATTTTTTTACATTTTTATTTGAATTTGTCGTAAAATTCTTCGTACCATATTATAGTTTTACGTTCAGTTGCTGCGTTGCCGTTTTAGAAATTCTTGTAATATGCGGAAAACAGTCTACTAAATATGGAAAATAGTAACAGTTAGAACTAAAATATTTCACGGGTGATAAAGGTTTTATCTGAAGACGTTCACTATTTTATACAGGATGTTTTTTATAGATTTGCCATCTTTACAAATTTCAAAACCCATTTATTACGGAAGATAATTTCCAAGCCCAGGCGTAAACGTGGCCCAGACGTGCCACGGACTCGAATCGTGGATGAGAATATCTACTAAGAATGTGCTGTACATAGCCCGGCTGATGTCCTGAGGACATCAACAGTAAAGCCTAGGTTGTCCTCATTTGATCTACTGATCCTGACAATGTCCTGTATATAACCAGGCGGATGTCCTTAGGACGTCAAAGTTCAAGCTGTCCCATTTAAATACCCCGGGAACATCCTGAGGTGATCGTGTTATCCTCCGTACATCCTACGAATGTCGCGATGCTGTGTGGGAGAGGGTGATTTTGAAAGAATCCTAGACAACTTACGCCTCTTAAATAATCTGGCAAAATAAAAGGCCCAGGTGGATTACGGTTGACTGATCTTGAAGACTTGTTTGCCTATAAAGTTAATCATTCCGTTTCGGGTAAATAGAGCCTTGTCACTGTCCAAAATATTTCTGGTAATGTTTTTATTCATTTAATGTGGCTGTAAAGCTTAAACTTGTTGCTCTTGAAAGGGGTACCATTGATTTTCCTGCATTGTTGTCTGAACTTTCTTTGGTTCAGTTAAACTTGGCGTGCAATTACTCGAGTACTTGTTGGATCTCAACAAGATTTCCTCCTTTTGTAGTTTTCTGGCACTCTACATCTTCCAGCATGCCCTTCACGATGTTCCTGCAAATCACCGGTGTCTGCTCCCTTTGCCACAACCCGAACAAATGATCGCGATGAGGATGATCCTATAAGGGTCGTCCACGTATAGCTGAAAAGCAGCATTGGCACTCTAGCGACAGTCTCCATAAGTTAACATATCAACTAGCGCTACAAGCGAAATTATTCAACCAAAAATCACGGTGGAAATCCACGATAGAACTGACACAAACATACAGCATAAGAAAATAAACATACACAGAAAGGCCATAAACTTTAGGTTTATGTACCTTTGTTTGGAATATCGATCGACTTACTTGCTTAAATTATTTGCAAGGAGTTACTTGATTTTTTATAGGGTTTCATTTGAAAGAAAATATAAAAATAGCTAATTCTCAGAAAAAATGGAATACTGCACTATCGAAATTAATTTTAAAAATTGAAGAAATTAATTTGGTAAAACTTTTATTTGGCTCGCTTGTTTGTACTACTGATACTACCAGAACTGTGAGAGAATTCGTGAAACATCATATTTACTGTAGTTTGTATTTATTTGCCAGTAAAGTTATTTAACTAATTCCGTCAGAACATCCGACCACTTTACATAGTTTCAGGCGTGGGTCTGATTTGTTTAACGCTCCTAATTATGTCAATTTAATTGCAGGAAAGGCTTCAGCAACAACTGGACGAACAGGCTCAGCGCTACGAGGAACAGCTGACGGAGCTGCACTCCGTCATTGCCGAACTTACACGCAAATTACATCAGCAGCGAACTATGGCGATAGCGGAGGAAGACGAGGTGTCAGGTACGAAAGTGACAGTTTCAATTTAATTTAATGTTGTTATTTGGTGGGGTCTTGGGAAAACGTACGTCTAAAAGCTTTTTAAACAGCGACTTTTCTATTTTTTTCTTTCTCTCAAATGTTCCGCTGCAACACGAAACTAGCTTTAAATTTGATTCCGAAATAAAAATTCCAACTAAATTGAGAAAGAACTATTATTTTTCCATAAAAACACCGAAACTGATCGATTTTAGTCGTAAAAGAGGCACATATTTTTTACAAATTCCCCATCTCGTATTAGCACCGATGGGATATCCATCCCATCGATGCTAATGCACAAATAACATAAAAAATGTAAACGATTTTCTAAGGCACTGTTTCCAGAAAACAATATTAAAAGAATTATATAACCTCAATTTTTTTTAGTTAATTTGCTATTACTGCAGCAGTTGAGAACTGATTTGAAACTATCAGAAATATTTGTCCAATTGATTTGTGACCTTAAACTTGCTGAAATTACGTGACAAGTTAAGTGACCAAATGCATCTAATAGTTTGAAAACAGTTTGAGACTGCTACAGAAACAAACCTAATAATTTGACATATAAAAACTCTTGTTGGTTTATGAACACGCATTTTGCTTTCAAAGCCCTCTAAATTATTACTGATATTTTTATAATGCACAATTTTATTAATTATTAATTAACGTAATGAAATAATTTGGCAAATGTAAGCAATAGCTTGCAACTGTGTGGAACATAATTTTCTTCTACTTTTAATTCTGCTCCATTTATATTGTAAGAGTTAAATTTTTATAGTTTGTATCTTCTTTATAAAAATATGACCTTACTTATTTCACATACAGATTACATATGATGAGATGAGATTATAAAAAGATCTTTGTCTTATTACTAACCATAACTTTACCTTATTCTCAACTTTAGTCTTCTTCTTTCCTAGTGGTTGGTCCTAATAAGTCCCATAGCACTGCGGCCTAATTAGGCCTATTGTGCGTCCCACTACTAGTCCTATTCAGTCTATTCAGTCAGTAGTTTTGTCCTTTTGACAAAGTCCAAAAGCTTCCTTGCTGATACTTCTCTCAGTTCCTTGGGTTCCAAAAAGGTCTCCCAAGGAGCGTCATTCTACTACGTGCAAATCCCGAGCACTCGTACAGGATATGCAGAGAAGTTTCATCCGCCGAGTCACATCCTCGGCAAACCGGACTGTCTACAAGCTTTAGCTTATGTAGATGTTTCCTAAAGTGACAGTGTCCCGTTGTGAGTCCCGTCACTCTCCTGAGCCGGATTTCATTCAAGCTCAGTGAATCGTTTGCTCTTTCCTTCAAAGGATACTCCATGAGCTCCATAGAATGGCTATGTTCTGGCCTTGAAGTCCAGTATTTCCTATGTTCTGTCTCGGTCCATTTGCTCAGAGCCCGCCTGACCACACTGGGAGATGTACCACAGAAGGGCTCCGGGCCAATGAACACTGTCTCGGATCCCTTCTTAGCAAGTTCATCCCCTTTCTCGTTCCCACAAATGCCTTTGTGCCCTGGCAACACAGTCTAACTGTATTATTGGTGTTAGGCTTAGTTTCAATCCTAATACCTGTTATTTTTAATTCGTCTATAAAAATTTGGTCTTATCTAATCTTAAGAATTGGCAATCCAAAACTGTTGCGTACGAGTACTTGTCTTAATCTTAATTAGTCTTAATCTAAGAAGTAAAATATGTAAATTTTCAAGGTCAGGTCTTAAGACTTCCGTAGGATTAAAACTAGGTTAGAATTTTTATAAACCAGCACATTGAAATCTGTAAGATCTGTTAAGACTGGCCAGCATCAGAAAGGAGAAATAGCAGACCTTTTTACATGTGTACCTACTTGCGGTCTAGTCTTAGGCCGGTCGTACTTTAAATGCGTTTTCGTCCGAATTGGATTAGTCAGAAGTCGCACGAAGAAGTGCGAATGATTCCATTTCAAACCTATTAAAGGTCGTATACTGTGTCCCAATTCGTTCGTGCGAATTCGAACGATAACATGCGATGCACGATGCATCCGAAACAAATAGGATTGTTCGCAGTTTTTCTGACGAATCGATAGAAACCACTACATACCGATGGATGTTGAAAAATAATTAATTAATCTGATTTATGAAAAAACGCCTCTGTGGGATATAACCGACAAATCATATCACATCACATCTTTAAGTCATTATATAAATCACAGAGCACTAAATGATGAAATTCTCCAAATTCTTTTCGTTTAGCTAATATGTCATTAACCGAACACTTTTTTTAATCTTTAATCGTCGTCTAAGAAGATAACTATTTTGCAAATGATAATCATCCACGTTATTAACAATATTAATATGCTGATCGGTATGTACGACTGACTTCGTGCAAAGCAAAAACTTGTCCAGTGGATGATACCACATAGGCGAACTCTGACAAAATTCCGATTTTCAATTTCAATTTCTGACGAAAATGCATCGAAATGACAATCGGCCTTAGTCCTAAAAAGGAAAAAGTTAATAGCTGCTAAAGGATTACAGTGAGGGTACATACTTTCCAGTGAGATAGTTTTCGTGACTCCTCAACGAAACGTGATAAACGTTTGCGCAGTTTTTTCGTAAATTATTAAAATTATTATATTTTGATCATATTTCAATGAATAAGTATTGAACGAAAATCGAAAAATATATTGTATTGTAAGCAAGATGCTTCCTTCTAATTTTTATAAATAGAAACGGTTACACTAAATGCGAATTTCCTTACACTGTGAGAAGTGATTAATTATTATTATTATAATCGTTGAGCGAAAAATAATATCTCACTCTTATAATGTAGTAGTTTGCCTGGTATTATTCATTGGAGTAGATTTTATTTATTCCCGAAAATAAAAAATAATAGCATTACTAAAATATTACTATTATTGTAGGTGTATACATATAACTTGGATTGAGAAATTTTGCAAGCTACTTTTAAGTACATTTAAGTATATTAAAAATGTCAAACAAAAAGTAGATAGCAATTAAGTACTAAATTCACAAATTAGGTACGCTATTTTATAGTTTTACAGTTTTCATTATTTCCATTATGTCATCAATTAGGAAAAAAATATATTTGTTAAAAAGGATGTTAAAAATTGTTAGTCAGGTAATGAAAAAATTGCAAGTATTTATAACTGAACTAGTTTCGTTGATTTCTTTGTTTTTTATGGTGCATTTGATAATTGTATTAAAACATCTAAATTAATACTAGTAACTATTTTTTCATTAGTTTTTTATCGCAAATATGTATATGTGAAAATTATGTTACTGTATCATTTAATACCAAAAATTTTTCTGTCTGACACTAAGTAATATTCGAAAAAATTATGATTGCCGTCATTAAGATAGACATTGAAAAAAATCAAGCTACTTTTTTATAAGACACCTGATACATCCACGTTTACCTTTCAGAGTCATGTACAAGTGCCCATGAAGAATCAGTAACTTGCCCACTAGAAGTGAGCGAATTAGAGCCTTTAGAAAATGAATTATCTGACTTGGATAATAAAATACCTGTAAGTATAATTTTCCATGTCATTTATGTTTAATGTTCAAAGAAATAAAAATGTTACTTCTCTTTTTCCCCTAATTTAAAATTTAAAATTTAGACCAAAACATTTACAATACACTCCCTAAAATTGAAAAACCTTAGTATTAAAATTATTGATTATTATATAAGGGTCAAAATTCATTGTTTCAAATTAAATGCAATTGCGTCTGACTGTCGAAAATTATTTCTAGTGCACTAGGAGCAAAGTTGCTATTAATTTTAAAGAAATTGTGTTGGCAATTTATTTTTTAGCCAAAATCTAATATCAATATCACGATTTAACTCATATTTTTAGGGACCATATAATAAATAATATTTAACTCAACTTGTCTTTAACTGATTAGTTAATGGCATGTCCCCAATAAATGAAGACCCTGTATGTACAATGTCTAATGTTATGCTGATGTCATTAAACTTTTAATATTTACCTCGGTATTTTCACACCCATACTATTTTTCTAAAATGGACCTCTGGAGATAAAACTTATTGGAACAATTGAAACTATTTAAAAATATGTCTGCTGTAGTCTCATTATATGTTAATATTTGATGTTAACTGACCGATAATAATTATTACCTACTATTTTCAAAAATATATATATTTTTGTTTGATTTCAGTCATCAGAGAGTCCTATAGAGTTACCTGAACCAAAACTCACATCTTCACATCATGAGAATAATGAGCTCTCACCATTTTCTGAAGTTGTCGAGCCTTTAAAAAATGAAATAACCAGCCTAAAACATCAGTTGCATGAAGCTCATACAAGGCTAGCACAGATTGCTCTTTCCAAAATTGAAGAAACTGCAGATGAGGAAACCATTACAGATAGCAAAAATATAGAATCACCCGAATCTCATATAGAGATTGACTGTGAGTCGAAAAGTTATCATGAAGAGAAAGTAGATATAAAATATAGTAATATAGTACCTATACATAGGACTAATGTTAAAAACAACGCTAACGCGACATTTGCTAGTGCGCCAGTAACAAAGGTAGCTGAAAGGATAAAATTAAAAAGGGCAACAGACGGGCAGAGGGACATTACTCCTAATGACTTAATAAACTCAGATTTGCCCACTGCTGTTGCCGAACACATAGTTGGAGATATTCTACGACAGTGTGATTTACAAGCGGAAAAGCAATGTATGGATATGGAAATTAGAAAAATTAATGCTAAGTTGGAACACGCAAGATCACAAAACACGGTGCTGGCTATCACCTTGTCTGAAACTAAAGCCCATTGTGATAGGTAATATTCTCAACATCTGTACTGCTTATATTTACTTCTAGAACTGTTTTTTATTTAGAAAAAAATGTACATGTTATTTTTTTTTTCAGATTGGCATTATTGTGTGGAAAATACGAGTCGAATGCTATTGCCCTTAGATTAGCTTTAGGTATTAGTGACAGAGCTATAGAGGCCTATGACGTGCTTCTAGCTTTGCTCGAAACAGAGCTATCCTTAAAGGAAAATAATCCAGACACAGTACAAAATAGAACAGCTGCCGAAATAGTGGCAAAACAGCTTCTTCACCATTTAGATTCATATCAAAGTACAGATGTTCTGTTATCACCTTGGCAGAATCATGTTTATAATAGTCCAACAACAGAAGAGTAAGTAATCTTACGCTTTTAAAAATGTATTTCCACTTTAGCAAGCATTATGAAACATGTCTTTAATATCACAATTTCGTCACAAGAAAACTAGATTTTAGACAATGTTGCAAACTTTATATCCCAGTTCACTCATTTTTCCATCTATTTCAATAATTTTTTTTATAAAATTCAAAATAGTCAAATAAGTAAACTAATAAATGTAACAGGGAAACATTTTTATACAGTACCTACTTTTTTAGCCTGCAGATATAGCAAACTATGTACCCTTAATAATAAAATAAAATCACTTCATTATTTACCTATGTTTGTATTATTGTGGTAGCTATAGAGAATTTGGCAGCAATTCAACCGGCAGTACATTAAACATAGGACAGAATTCTAATAATAATAATTTATCATATGTCTCTGCAACTGATACATATCTTCTTATACGGGATGTCCAGAAAATACATAGACAATGTAGGCCAGAGATTCCTTGGCACAGAATAATTCTGTTTAGCTTAACTTTCATATATCCACAATTGCTTTTTTTGTTTTTTTTTTTTCATTGATTTTGACTATTTTCGGCTAAAATTTAATACAAAACATCAATTTTTTCGGGGTTTCAAAATGAAAAATTTTAATTTTTTAGATTAAAAAATGTGTTCATCAATATTAAATATTTTTGGGATGCGGATATCTAATTTTTAATGCTCTCTAAAACAATGTTGAGAAACCTTATTTGAATGTAGAAATTCATATCCCGAAAATGGTTAAAATCGTTTTACAGACTCGAATTATTCCAAAAAAAAAAACAAATATTTTCATCAATTTTAATACTTAATGGTCACCACCTTGTATATTACAATTTAAAAAGAATAGACACAAACCGTCTTTTTTACTGATTTGTGAAACAAACAAACATTTTTTAAATTTATTGAATGTTGTTTCATGCAGTGATGAACCTTGGACTTCAGAACATGAGATGAGGTTAAGGGAGCACGTATCAAGGCTAAAAGCAGAAAGGAGCAACATTCAAGGGACGTATGTGGCTTTAGAATCAACTCAAGTCGAAAATGTACCAGTCAGACCATCAAGCAGTCAAGAAGCAAGAAAACTTGATCTGGAAATGGCTGTACTTATGCAGGTAATGAAGTTTATTTTACTTGTCTTAATCTATTTGTTCAATTTATGAATGCAGTAACAAGGCTTTTTTATATATTTACTTTTAACAGCACCATTCTCACAAAAGATTTTAAACATTTATAGCTTATTGAATAATACTTCAGCAATAACAAAGTAGTAAGTAATTGACTTTCATGAAAATTGTGTTTTTGCCATTTTTCATATCTACAAGAACTGAAATAGCATGGGATATAATATCAGGATCACAAGCAATGTAAATTCAGTTTAAATAAAAGGTGGTTTTTGTAAAATTTTTAATCATTGTGGTTTTTTAATTTTTTTCTGTAAAAAACTGCTTTTTATAAAATTTTTAAAAAATTTAAAGTTTAAAAAGATATAAAAAAAATTACATAAATTGACATCCTGGAAATTAGTTTCTGAACGAAAATGTGGATGATATTGAAAATAATCAAACTGACTGCATATTCACGACGATAAATAAATACGATCTACGAAAAAAAATTTGAATAAAAACTTTTTGGTTTCTGAGTTACAGACCTTCAAAGTTGTCAAAAATAAAACTAATTTAATAATTAACTTCATAACCTTTTTACCGATCGCGTTAAAATTTGGTACATTTATTTGGACTATTATGGCATATTATTTCTTAAAGCTTTAGTCAAATCAATTTACTGGGTGATAGTTTTCTCCGGTTACCTCTCCCTTTTAGCGGTCAAAACTTTGACAGTGGAGGTATTTTTTTTAAAACGGGCAACAACATTGAAAAGGTTGTTTTATTTAAAAAAATATATTGTCTTGAGGAAAACGCCTACAGAAAGCCATTCTTGAGAAAAAGGGCATTAATTGCAGGTTTGTACGTTTCAGTTGCCTTAGGAGTGTCACGGATTTAAAATTTCAAGTTCAGTAGGCGATGAAAACAGGATGTTGGTTACTGTAGCTATCAGGTAATGTCATTACTATTGTGTTTCTTTAAGATTGTCATCATTCCACACATGCAAATTATGAAGTACGTGTCCGTAGTGTATCAAGATCATTAAATGTATGTAAAATTATTGTTCACAAAACTTTAAAAGTGCAACTTCTTTGGCCATTTCATTTAACTCCTGCTCAAGAACTTGAAAATTTAAATCCCTATGTACATTTACAATTTTGCCGCTGGTTGGTGAATGGCTTCGCAAGATAATAATTTGCTTAAAATTGTTTTGTACTGACAAATCTTGTTTTACAAAGAACGGAGTTGTAAATTTTCATAATTTGCATGTGTGGAGTAATCAGAATCCTAAAGAAACATGACAATAATGACATTACTTGATAGCCACAGCAATCAATATCTTGTTTTTTTTTCATCGCGTACTGAACTCAAAATTTTAAATCCGTGACACTGTAACGCAAACTGAAACATACATACCTACAAATAATGCCATTTTTCTCAAGAATGGCTTTCTGTAGGCGATTTTCTCAAAAGACAATATTTTTTAAAAATAAAACGACCTTTTCCATGTTGCTGCCGTTTTAAAAAAATACGACCACTGTAAAAGTTTTGACTGCTAAAAGGGAGAGGTAACTGGAGAAAACTATCACCCAGTATATCGATTTGACTAAAGCTTTAAGAAATAATAAGCCATAATAGTCCAAATAAATGTGCCAAATTTTAACAGGATTGGTAAAAGCGTTATGAAGTTATTAATTAAATTAGTTTTATTGTTGACACCTTTGAAGGCCTGTAACTCAAAAACCAAAAATTGTTTATTTAACTTTTTTTCGTAGATCGTATTTATTTATCGCCATGAATTTGCAGTCAAACGTTGTCGGTGGAAATAACGTATATTTAGAAATGGTGTCAAGCGTATTGGTTCAACAGAAGATTATTATCATTAACATTTTAGACATTAGAGGAAGCAACAGATGATGCTATCAAACCGAAACTTGTATACAGCTTAGAAAAAGTCAAATTATGCAAAAGATCTTATTTATTCTAGCAAGGAATCCATAAAACATAAACTCTATTAAATATAGAAAACTGAATAATTCTAAAATAATAATTTATATTCTAATTTAATATTAGTTTATTTTTAAAAAAGTTAACACTAACTACTCATGTAGTCTTTCACTTATAGTGTGAGTATTTCATAAATTCTCATTCTCAAACAACAGAAAAGGTAATGAAAGAGAAATATACCAGGATAGGTATTAGAAATAATAAATAGAGAGAACCGTAAAACCCAACAGCTTGAGACTCGATAATTGACAACTTGATTTTCTGAAAGATATGTCATCATTTTACCAGGAAGAAATACATCTGAAACTGCAGGTGGCGCCACCTGAGTAAGGGGGTGTAGTCAAGTCGCCTCCGATCTTTTCTGTCTTTAATATTAATTCAAAACCATTAAAATTTCAGTTATGATATTATTTGAATAGTGTTAGAAATAATATCAGAACATAACTTGCTTAGCGGGACAGAATAGCAACTCTATTATGTTATGATGCCATTCATTTTTTAAGCATGGCAGAACATGAAAAAATGTAGGTAGTATTTTTTATTGTATTTTTCTTTCTTACAAAATAACTGATTACAACTGTACAGTTATTGTCTTTGTTTCAGGAGTTAATGGGTCTTCGAGAAGACAAAACAGAATTGCTGTCGAAGCTGTTTGTATTGGAAAAAGAGAAAAGTGCGGTTGAATTGAAACTGAAATATGTTGAAGGCCAACAGAAAGCACAGTCTGCAGCTTTGAAGAACCTCCAGGGCCAGTTGAAAGACACTGAAGCATTATTAGCTTTGGCTACTCAAAATAAGGTAAGTAAAATTGAAAATATTTGTGTATGTATAACATACATCAGAATGTAAAGTGTAGAAGATGTGTTCATTTAAAACATAAATGAATTACACATGACATTTGAAATAATGAGAAATAATGCAAAAAGTAGGTACCTTCTACATGTTTTTTTATACACAATACTTCATCATCCTTAACTTTTAAAAAGTATTGTGTTGGAATATCAAAAGACTTGTCATGACATTTTTGTTAAAAATTTAAGTGTTCTTTTTTTTTGTACACTTAAGAACTTGTTAGTCGTACTTCGTTTCTTTCCTGGTTAGTGTTTCGAAGTGAAAAATAATTGTCTATTTTGGAGATAGTAAAATTGTTTATTTCAATATAGACATGTTCATTTTAATGTCATGTTTCTTTTAACATTTTTGTGACTAATCTTTTCTTAATCCTAACATGACTTGTGTTTTTAAGGAACGAGGGTATTCTGATGCAGAGCATGCACAAGGAGTAGAACTGGAATTAATGCAAGCACTAGCAAGAGAGGCAAGACTGAAAGTTAGGCTACAGGAACTTGTTGCGACTTTGGAACAGGTTACTAAAAATGCAGAGGCCAGACTATTAGAAGGAAGAGAAATAGTACAAGATCTTAATCATACCAATAGGTAATATTTTTAATTAAATTTGACTTTTCACCTAAGCCAAATGGTTCCCAAACTTTGTTGATTGTGTGTTTTAGAAAGTACCCATAAAGATATAATTTGATTTGTATCTAAAATTCATTCAAAAAATAGTTTTTTAATGGAAAAAAAAGAAATAATCATTTTATATTAATGGGTACATTCCCTGTATATATTTTGGGAATCACCGTTCAATAATAGTTTTTATAATCATTTGTTAACTGTAAAAGGTGTAGAAGGTGTGTCCCAAAAGTATTCAACCTGCGTTCATAACTTCATGATGGCATTATATTCTTTGCCATCTGGCTCCTGGTATAGTTTTTGTGAAGTCAATTGAAGAACCAATAATTTCAAGGTATGTACCAGGCTCGGTCACTAAGCAGCAACTCGGCATTGAAATATTTGCAAAACTTGCTCCCACATTTATTTAGCCATACCCATATACAGATCTGGTCAAACGAAACGTGCAGGTGGTAGAAATGTATATGTTCAGTTGAAGAATTAGCGTGCAGGCAAAGAGCAATGTGCACTGTTGCTCTGGTCCATTGCGTCATAAAGTTCAAGTCGCCTAGCAGTGCAGTGCAGGAATGCAGAATTTGGTGTGATTCAGATAATTTTTATTTATTATAGGTACCCTTCTATTAATCACTAATATATTATGATTACGAAAGGGAGAAATAAGAGGGATATTTGGTTTATTAATATTATTACAAGATAGCATTTTGGAGACCTTTTGAAACGGAAGAAAACAAAATTTACCATCAATATAATAAAATTGTTTGAGGACATAAATAATTAAAATATGTTGTTGGTCAAATGAACATATAATAGAAATTTTCTACAAATTATTATATTTTTCTACCTTTACCAGAAAACTTTTTTAGGGCCGCACATGAAACTCATTATATTTGATTGCTCGGTTTTTTATGCATGTTCAACTGACTTTGGAAGAACTATATCCTTCAAAGTAATCTCCATTTGACTGAACAACACACTCTCATCGGTGCTTCCATGCCATGAAGCAGTTCTGGAAGTCACTTTTTAGAATAGCCTTCAGTGCACTCGTCGCATTTGTTTTAATCAACTCTGTGTCATTGAACCGTTGCCCTTTGAGCGAAATTTTCAATCTTGGGCCCAACCAAAAGTCACTGGGATCTACGTCAGGACAGTACAAAGGCTGGCGATGTTGTGTAATCTTGTGTTTTGTCAAAAACTGTTGCATAAGGTTTGATGAATGTGCTGGCCACATCATTGTGGTGAAGGAGTCTGTCGTCGCTCATCCAAAAATGTAGATTGTAATCTTTTCAGAACTTCAAGGTAAAATTCTTTGTTCTGATCTTTTAGAGCATATTCATGGTGCACAACACCTTCATAATCGAAAAAAACAACAACATGGAATTGACATTGCTCTGACTTTGACGTGCTTTTTCCGGCCATGGCTCGGATGGAAGCTTCCACTATGAAGACTATTGTTTTGTTTCAAGATCATGACCATAAACCCACTTGTAAAGATGTTTTTAAGCACACCATCATTAGCGACCAATCCCAAGTTATGCTGGGTGACTTCGAAGCGAAGCTTTTTCTACTCTGCCCTGATTAATTTTGGAATGAATCTCACACACACACACGATTTCTAAATTCTGGGTTACTATTATCAAAACACAAGTTTTTGGAATTCCAAGATCACTTTCTAATTCAGTCAAAGGACGATCTTCTTCAATTGCAACTTGCACATTCTCGATATTTTTCTGTGTTATCATGCTCGACCAGGACAGGTCACTGTCCACAGACGTGCGGCCATTTTTAAACCGCTTGTACCACTCTTTTATCTATGTGTTGCCCATACACTCGTCCCCAAAGACCTTCTGTATCATTTCAATAGGTTCTGCACAACTCTTTTCGAGTTTAAAGCAAAACTAGATGCAAATTTATTGGTCACATCTCTACATCATTTTCAGTGATAACAAAATCTGAAGAATGAAAAAAATATACTGTAAACAAATACACTGTGGGTGAACTAACACGTCGCGTTGGTAACTGCGGCAGCCAGTGAAATCATAACGAGTCACAAGTTACCCTACAGAGATCGCTCTAATGTTCTGGTGCAGGGTTATGGACGCAGGTCGGATACTTTTTGGACATACCTCGTACATGGTATAAATTTTATTATACTCATAAATTTGAAAATAGTATATTGCCATTATAGGTGTGTTTTAAATATTTTCTTAGATATCATTTTCAATCTTAGCATAGAAGTATTCTTTAATGTCACGGTCTTAGATCTAAATTTCATATACTATTATATTAGTCTATAAAATATTTTATAGGTGAAGTTTGTTGTTATATAATATAATTACTTAACGCAATATGGAAAGGAAAATATTGATACTAGACTCACATTATTACAGATTTCCCCAGGGCTTTGATATAACTTAATCCTCAATCTGTTCAAGAACAAAGTAAACTTTCAAACTTCTGTTGCTGAACTCTCACATTTATTAAGGATTTATGTATCATAACTCTTAGTATAAAGTGATTATATTTTGATAATGAATCATGAGCTTTTGTGTGACAAAGAATTTCAAAAGAAATTGCGAAATAAAAACTAAATTAGAGGGTTGCTGATCCTAAAAAATATATTATCTGAAGTTATTTATTTGTGGCATAGTTTCAGTTCTTTCTCTGTTTATTGGACATTTTACCACCTGTAGAAAAATTTATTAACAAACCCTTGCACCAAAAGGATTAGTCAAGGGTTATTTTTATACAACTATTTTTGCCTAACCAAAAATCACTAGGTGTATGACACGTTCATTGATAGTTAACGTAAAATTCAACCTTTTTTCAAAACCGGAAATGATGTCAGTTGCCAAATTAGAATCTGTTGATTTTTATGGTGCTTTCTATTTATTATTTCAAATATCCTATTATATTTTCATTTTCCATTACTTTTTCCAATATGCTGACAATGTGACAAAAAAGACCTCAAAAAAAAGTTGCACATATTTTTTTAAAGGTAGATATGAAATTTGAAAAATAAAATGTTAAATATCAAAGTTAAATTTAAATTCGTACCTGTATACAAATACAAATAAATATTAATTTTGTTAGAAATTAAAAATGCACATCTTTGTACAACTTTTTTTGAAATCTTAAAAGCGGCTGATGCCTCTGTTTATTTCAATTTGTAATTTTATTCAAAATTTCTTTGTGTGTACATAGAAATCATCCAATAAAAAATGATGATGATCAAAATATAACTTTAATTTTCACCAGCCTGATTTATTCATTATAATTTGTCTTTATTTACGAATAATGTTAAATTTATTTATAAAAATGTGTTCATAATAAAAAATATCATCCTAGATATTAACGCTATCAAAATTTTAACTTTCCATACGAGTGAAATATGAATCCCTTAATTATTATTTTTTTTTTTTTCAGTATATTAGCTGATACTGTAGATAGAAATAATAAAAAATATCAAGCAAAATTTAAGAAAATGGAGCATCAAATGTTTGTTATGGCGGAAAAGCACTCTGCTCAGGTAATTATTTCTGTTATACAGGGTGTAAATGACAAGTTTAGCCAAACCTTAATGGTGTATTCTACCGATGAAATTAATCAAGATTTGCCCTATAAAAATTTTTGATAGGACGCTTCCCTATAGAGATACAGAGTGTTAAAAGTTTCAAATATTTATATTATTTTTCCTGTAACTTCACTGCCAAATTGATAAAATTCGGAGGATGACATTTTTTTAGTAGAGAGTATTTTTTCCAAGTTGGTCCAGTCTGTCTCAAGTAATGCGTTTACCAACAAACAGCATTTAATTTTTATTTATACGGGGGTGTATCAAATATAAACAGGATTCATTTTGTAAAAAATTCTAACTTTATTTAATTAAGCTTAGAAACATATTATTTTTCTAGAAATACATTTTTCCCATCAAATTGAGAGCTTTTTTATTGCATCATCGTAGAATCTCTTCGGACATTGTTGTAGCCATTGGAGCACAAATGCTTCCACCGCATCGTTGTCGTCGAAACGCTGGCCTTCAAGCGCTTCTTGGAGGGGTACAAAAAGATGGAAATCGCAGGTATACAAGTCAGGACTACATGGCGGATGTTCCAGCGTCGATCATGGAGAAAGTCAACTTGAAAAGCACCTTGCCGTGCAAAAAACTCTGTTGCCATTACCTTTCCGGCTGACAAGCACGTCTCTGCCTTCACCGGTCCCCTCTCGCCACTTTTTCTCTACTCCATAGTCGCCTGTTTCGACTCGGGTGTGCAGTGGAGCACCCAAGTTTGTGATGGCTTGTTTATTTATTTACTACTTGTCCCTCACTATGACGACTGAGCAGCGGCGGTTACCTCAGGCACCAGTTTCTGTTTATAGTGCAGAAACACCACTACTCGGGCGGCTACAGTGCAGACACGGTATGTCCAGAGGGTCTAGAGAGAGTTAAATTTCACATAGGAATAAAAGTCACACAATTTACAAATATTTACATTTATTAACAGTTTTATTCTACCCATATACAGTCCTAGATTACTACCTTCCTTTCTTGGGCACGTCTGGTCAGTCGGAATGCTAGAGTGGACCTAACTCTGCAGTACAATTACCTCGTCAGGTCTCTTGTCACCTCAAGAGCCTTGCGCATTGAATATACGCGTAACCTAATTTACTTCGGTGGTCTTCGGACTGGATCGAAGGCGACGGCTGGAGATGAACTGAATTTTAAAATTCAGCTTGTTTCCCAAGTTCCTCGTGTCACTGCAAAATCTCCAGTCGATGTTGCTCGTGTTCCTCCGATAACAGACGGGGAACCCATCTAGCAGATACTTTACGCATTTTCAAGTCATTAGTCACGATCCGGTGGACACTCCCGTAACTGATGTTCAGCTCCTCAACTATTTCCCAGAGAGTTATGCGGTGATTTCCCTCCATGAGATTTTGAACCGCCTCAATGTTGGCTTCGGTCACACTTGTCCTTGGGTGCCATGCGTGGCTCTCATTCTCGACCTTTTCACGCCCTTCCTTCTTTGTGCCGTACAAACACATGAGTTCTTGACAGGGTGTTGTCCCCAAACTGTGCCTGTAGTCACCACAAAATTTCAGTTGGATTCACCCCCTCCTTACCCAAAAACTGAATTATAATCCGTTGCTCCACGGAGCCATGCACTTCTGTCTCGCTCATCGTTTCTTTTCATACTAAAGGTACTCGAGGGAATTGCTGTCAGCGCATCAACTTCTTCAAGGTCACGAACCCCTCCGTAATTTATAAAAAAAAACATTCCCGTTTATATTTTATACACCCTCATATAAATATACTGATACATAAAGAAAATACTCTATCAAATTTTAATAGTAGTTTCTAAGCCAAAAAATTTAAAAATATAAGCATGAAGCTGTTACATTAGGTGTTGCGAGTGTTATTCAATGCCGGTCGGGGCATATAGCCCGCGGAGTAGTTGTTTCTCGCAACACTGGCAATTTATAAGCATGACTCTCGAAACTTGTCTAGATACTGGGTTTTTTGATTTTCGGACATATATATAGATGTTTTTCATATCTTCCAAATTTATTAAGATATTTGGTACACGGGTATTAGGACTGACGGTCATAACTTCAAGTTAGTGGAAGAACCAGAGGCGAAAATATGATAAGCCACACTGCTAATTTGATAAGAATTAGATTTATATTGACAGAAAGTAGAAAATGCCTTTTCACAAATTTGCTATTACTTCATACTAGAGCCTGTGTACAAATTTCAGTTAATTATTATAAAAAAAAACCATATTTTTCTGAAAAATCAAACAACCCTGATCTCAAAAATAATAGATTCCACCAGTAAGATGAGAACGCATTCGGCGGTCGCGGTCCCGTCGCATCACGGTTGGTTCTGGACTGAGCTGATCGTGGTCTTTTCTAAAATCAGTCGCATTTGGCAATCGTACACAATCCTGCTCGCGCTCTTCTTTAAATAGTTGAGGTATTGTTTTAGTAGTTAAAAATTGAGTTATGTAGAAGAGGAAGCGATCTCCCGAGATTCTTTGGAAAAAATCGGTGGAGAACGTAATGCGAGTGAGACGAGCTCGGGAACGTCTAGTGCGAATGCATACATTATAAAACATGGGAAGCGACTCCACCGCACGTGATCGAGACTAGCACTGTCTGCGGTGCGACGGGACCGTGACCGCCTAATGCGTTCTCACCTTTAAAGTTAGGCAGATTAACATCCTGTATATTTTGGTCAATTCTTGATGCATTATTGGGTTAAAAATGTGAAAACTTAAATGTTATAGAATAAATTTCAAATTATGTGACTTTATTTTATTTTTAGGTGCAAAACCTTCAGCAGAGAATAGCTACATTAGAGACGCCGCCAACTAATAGTTCAGAGAATTCCATCAATTCAGTAGCAGTATAGTTAAAAGAATACTTATTTATCTTTTTATTTCATTATTTAATCCTTAGTTGATCTCTATTTTCTCATATAAAGCATTTAATGCCAATTGTTTGTATAACAGTGTATACCAATAAGATTTAAAAAGTATTAAGATACGAGATATTTAATATTGGAAAAAGTATGCTACAATGTGTCTGCCTTGCTGTGATTAACTTATACCCTCAAGAAGGTGGTAAAAATAAGATGGTATTTTTAGGAAGATTATTATATTAAAGTGATTATAATGTAACGCATAGGCTATTATGTATATCTTTATTTTTTATCCTGTGTTATTCGTTTTAATTAATCACGTATTACTTAATAAAGTTTTGTTATAATGATACTTTTTTATTATTTTAATACCTTTTTCCCTGCTTTGAAATCAGTACATTTACTTTACATAATTAATTTAATAATAATTGATAGATCTTGTTTAAAGTGCCATGTAACCTACGATCACAAATTACCTATCTTTTGAATCTTTCCAAATAATCAGCCAAGTAAGCAGAAGCACCCCCGAGCCCCCCCCCCCCCCACTTCCTAGATGAGCCACTACATGCACATGACCAAAATCGACAGTTAAGTGACAAAAGGATGGTAGAGAAACATTTCAACATACTTTCAAATTTCCGAGCTCTTGTCAAACATCTCGAGAACTACTCCACTCAAAGGACCCCGCACAAAATGAATGGAAATTGGGTCCCACTAGATTTTGCTGGAATTGTGATATGTTATAGTTCTCGACATTCTGATCAAAAGTTGTCATAGTTTCAGAGATATATAAACACATAAAACACACCACAGAAATGAGACAACCCCCAAATCCAAAGCCAAAGGCTTGTGCGGAAGGGGGCTACACTTGAAAAAACGCGGACAAACACCCATTATCCATCGACATTGCCAGTGCCGACACCAGGGATCGAACCCGGACCAGAGTAGGAAGCCTAGCCGAGAAATGCTTGCCACCACACTCTCGACCGACTGCGCTACCGTGGTGATATAGGGGTATATATTGGCTATGGGCCTAAGTAGCCATCGCTCTCGTTAACTGCGGCATCAAACCTCGATACTAGTCATTCCGCACTAGCTCGAGTTCTGTATCTAGCCAGTTTACGCACATCATCGTTGACGCTCTCAGCGCTTTCATAAAAAGAATTTGTACTCTCGCAACGCTTTTGGTTTTTATCATAAATAAGATTTTTAATTTCAAACTGACCACTCCACTTCCCAATTCCTACGTGGAAAAAATAATAAACAAACATAAAAAAGAAAGATAAGCAAACAAAAATCAAAAGAGAGGTGCAAAAAGAATAGAAACAAAAACAAAATAACAACAAATAAAAATAAAATAAAAGTAAAAAGAATGAAATAAAAAGAATAAAATAAAAATAAAATAAACAGAAAACCTCCAAGCCAATACATTAGAAAAGAGTCATACCAACACCCCAAACATTATACAAAAAAAATAAATAAAATAACATTCTTCGAGATGACCTATGGAGAACCAGCCGAGGATGTCAACCCAGGACTCATTGGATTTCCAGAAGGCCATAGAAGAAGACAGTTAGTCTAAAATCAAGTAATTAGAAAGGTAGAGCCTGACAGGCGCCCCTCTGTAATTACGCAACTCTTCATTAGACATATATGTATATGTAAAACTAACTTTTTCAACACATGCTTGTTGGGCCCTTGACACAACTTTTATAAGTATGAGGTTTTCTTATCTCCATCTAATGTTATCGCAGTCTATAGACTCATTTTTAGGTTGAATCATTGACTGACAGTCATTATACATCTGTACACATTATTTCGAGAGTCCGAGAATCGACGGTTACTTATGTCAATAGCCAATATCACACACTTCCCCCCTCTATATCTCTGAAATTATCCATAGGATCACTTTGGGCCCGTGACAACTTTTGATCAGAGTGTCAAGAACTATAACATATCACAATTCCAGCCAAATCTAGAGGGACCCAATTTCCATTAATTTTGTGCGGGGTCCTTTGCAGTGATGTTTCATGAATTCTGGGGTGCCAGCAAGAATTGTATATGAACTGGGTATTATTTGAATTCATAATTCAATACAATATTTGTGTAACCGGTCAAGTGTTGAATACTTTTAATTAACAGTATTCAGTAAGCATATTCATCACATTCAGGTATAGGTGTATTTTCTTAAGGATGTAGGGAGCAATTGCAAAGGGCGGCGAATTTCAAAACCTGATTCAAGTGCCAAGTGGGCAGTCCCTCTGGGTTTTTTGCTGACAATCTCGATTGTTTTTAACAGCTGCCCTTCTATCTAATTATGAGAGTAATAAATAAATAGAAAAAAGCATAAGTTTTTATTTGGCAGCTCAAAATTTGTTTTTTATATTTACTAACAGGTACCGTCTTTCCGATCTCAATTGGAGACCAAAAAGCTAGGCAGTATGTACCAAGTTCGATCGCAATGCAGTGTGGAGTTATTCGCCTTCAAAAAAAAAGAAGTTTGAAAAACAAATTCCAATTATAACTTCTAAGTTGTTACCACGACAACTGTGAAATTTGGGCAATTAAAGTAAATCAAGGTAATGTTCTTTTCCATCAAGTTTAAACGAATATTCAATATGTCTGGATTATACAGGAGCACACGAATTTGTCCATTTAAATGACCCCGCAGGTTCCTTATGGAAAATGGCTTCCAGCCGATAGTTCTGAAAATTTGGATTTGAATGTGGTGTTATAACTCCTAGCTTTCATCGACTATATCTCGGAAAATATAATTTTCTTAGCTTAGTGCCTATGATAACTTTTTATCTACGCTTCGAAAACTATTAAAATCCATAGTTTCAAAACTATCGGCTGAAAGCCATTTTCCATAAGGAACCTGCGGGGTCATTTATACATCTTTTACAGTGTTGCCAAATTTGACATTTTTCTTTCATAGTTCGATTCCTCTCTCACTTTGTTAAAAAAAAGATATACCGGATATCAGTCGATATCTTTTACCGTTTTTAAGAAAATCGAATTTTAGTTCTGGTCAAACTAAATGTGGAGGTGACAGAAATGTATACGACCAGATGAAGTATGCGCGAGCGAGCAAACACCGCACAAACACAGCCGCACTGGGCGACTGGGCCATAAATTCCAGTTGTCAAATTGCCTAGCAGTGCGGTGCAGCAATGCGAAATTATTTTATTGTGGATTATTTTTATTTAATAACTTTTCTAACCTAAACTGACAACCTTTCCTCATCCTTTCCTGGCAAGGATATGTTCATACATTCCCGTTGGTTCTTGGGGAGCAGTAATATATTTTAATGAAAATGTAAATGTTTTTTGATATGTTATAACCAAAAATTTACCATCAATATAATAAGATTGTTGGAGGACATAAATAATTAGAATATGTTGTTGGCCAAATGAACATATATTACAAATTTTCTACACATTATATACAAATTAATATTATTTTTACCTTTAGCAGAAAACTTTTTTAGGGACGCCTATGAAACTCATTAAATTTTATTGCTAGGTGTTTTTATACAAGTTCAACTGACTTCGGAAAGACTATATTCAAAATAAAAAATTAACAGCGAACCTGTAGTAAATTCAGAAAATGTAGTAGCCCGTATACACGCTGCTGTCGCATTAACCAAGAGATGCTACAAAGGGTTCATGCTTCATTGCTGAATCGTGCAAATTTTTGTCTAAAGTAGAACACCTTTTGTAAAAACAATTTCTATTATCTAAGCACATTATGGTTTTAGTTTATAAGTTTTTTCCTCTCCATTTTAAAATTATTTTATTATTAAAATCTTTCTCTATCCTTTTTAGGTTCTCACCTACTATTGGTTATAAATTATTTGTCTTAATTCCCATAAGCACAGACCTCAGTTTTGAGACAAAAAATCGGATTTTCACTTTTTTAGTTTCTTTGAATATATTTTTTAAATAACTCAACAAAGAAAATCAATTCCCAGAAGAACGGGCGTCACTTTTAGGACACCCTTTATGTAGGTACTACACAGACAGGTTGATCCATCATAAGTGTCATCCCTGTCAATACTGACAAACAATTTAATATACTTATTACAAAAAAAATTATAAATATAAAAGCTGTTCAACACTGTTTATTAATGTAAAATTATGCCTCTAAATTTGTGATAACTGTTTATGTTAAATTTGATATATTTTTTCTAAAATTCACTATAATGATTTTGTAAAATATTAGAGAAACTAGTTCAAAATGCTGTTTTTAATAAGACTGCAAATTTTCAAATTTAATAAGAAAATATGCTTTTTTATATTTTAAGTTAAAAAATATTAGATTTAATACAACTATTGCATTACAATAGAAACTTTTTCGTAAATACAAAATANAATGAACATATATTAGAAATTTTCTACACATTATATACAAATTAATATTATTTTTACCTTTAGCAGAAAACTTTTTTAGGGACGCCTATGAAACTCATTCAATTTTATTGCTAGGTGTTTTTATACAAGTTCAACTGACTTCGGAAAGACTATACTGGGGTGATTGATCATACTCGCCCAGGGCGCATAATTTAGAAATATGTTCCTGACTCAGAAATAGTATTATGAGAAGTGAAGTTGAAATCAGTTGGTGGAAGAGACAATACAGGTATCTTTTTTCAATGAAGTATGATGGTATGAGGTAGGTATGCTTATTTTAAACAGGTAGAAAATATATTTCTGCATATTCTCAGGGATTTTATTTTAAATACGCAGCAATGATCTGTTTTAAAGTTTTGTACAATTTCGTTATCATTTTTCTGAAGCTATATTTTTAATTATCAAAAAGAAATGAAAATTTAAGTCTTTATAACAGTTCAGTGTTAAAGTAGATAAGAGTCTTCATAAATGATTAGAAGCCAAAGTGACCAGAAATCTTGTTTGGAACAGTAATTTTTAATTTTATTTCCTTCATGTGGGCAATAATTAAAAATTATTAAAACAATAAGATCGAAATTACGTTAAAACACAACAGTCACCGACTAATTGGTGTAATTTTTCTCCAGATTCTATTCAACCAATCAACGATCGTATTATCTCGAGCGTAGGCGTAATGGTTTGTTAATATGTTCATTTTAAACGAGTCATTAATATTGGTGGCGCCAATATTTAAGTTTTTTTTTCTTACCAGTACCAGTCGTGCAATATAGTTGCCTAAGCTCGGCGGTCACGTGGCTTATATACATTTATGAAGGCTCTATACAGGGTGTCCCAGAAATGACGGCCGTTTGTCTGAGTTTTGATTAAGGGGAAAAACAAGTCGAAAATCAAGAGTAAAAAATGTTCCTATTGTTTTTCTTTGTTGAGATTAAAAAAAC